TCAATCCTGCAATTCTCTTTCTGCCACTATTTATGACCTAGTATTCTTTTAAGAGTTGTTTTAGATCAGTTTAATAATTTAAGATAATAGACTTCCTAATTCAGAATAAATAAGTTTTATGGATGTATATTAAGTCAAAATCACAATAATATAATGCAATAACATATGTATTGGAAGGTGAAAGACAGATTTTCAGAAATTTTTATTATTCTGTTCGACCTGTACTTAGGCCAATAAGTACAAATGGTTCAAAAATCGAAAAAGTATAAAAAGACACACAGTGAAAAGTCTCCCCGCACCTCATTCCTCACCTGCCCAGTGACTCCCATGCCCCACAGGTATCCACTGTTTCTAGTTTCTTGTATATCCCTCAGAGATTTTGTCTGTATACATTCCCCTCCCATTTTCATTCCCTCTTTTCAGTTAACAATATACGTTAGAGATCTTTCAATATCTGAATGTAAAAAGCTTCCCCATTTTCTTCATATTGCATAATCCACTATATAGAAGCATCATAATTTAACCTGCCACGTATTGCTGGACAGACCTCACTATTTATCATTATAAACAATGCTACAGTGAATAATGTCTTAGAAATCATTTCATATGTATTCCTATATATCTTGAAGATACATTATTATTTATTTATTTATTTTACTTTTTTGAGATAGAATCTAGCTCTGTCACCCAGGCTGGAGTGCAGTGGCGCAATCTCGGCTCACTGCAACATACGCCTCCCGGGTTCAAGCAATTCTCACGCCTCAGCCTCCTGAGTAGCTCAGACTACAGGTGCCCGCCACGACATCTGGCTATTTTTTGTTTTTTGTATTTTTAGTACAGATGGGGTTTCACCATGTTGGCCAGGCTGGTCTTAAACTCCTGACCTCAAGTGATCCATCCATCTCGGCCTCCCAAAGTGCTGAGATTACAGGAATGAGCCACTGTGCCCAACGAGGATAAATTATTAGGAGCAAAACTGCTAGGTCAAAGGGTACTTTAAAACTATCACTGACCTGATACTTCTCAGCACTAGTTGTCCAGTAATAAGACAGTATATTCCTTGTTGTCTCACATTTTCATGGTGATAATTTATAGTTTTGACTGACAGTATGGGCAAAGGGAGTATAGATCGCAAGAAACGTAAGTCTCTCTCAAACCAGAGGAAATATTACACGTTAATTAAATTGCCCCTATAGAAAAATGATGGCTTCTGATAAGTGATGTTTGTAAAAGAATTATATGTATAGCAGAATATAAAACTGAAAATAAGAATACTATAAATAGAAAGCCAACATTTTTTCAGTCTATTAACAAAAGATAAACTGAACATCTTCAGTGCTCACATTACTAAACAAAAGTTCCATGGGGAAATATAACAATTCTGCAATCACCTTTTGGAAAAAAGATAAGCAGGAATAGAATGTAAACATTGATGTGGCATATGACTGAGTCCAGTGAATGCCTTGGTAACCATGGCTGGAAATGCTTGTCCCAGAAACATGGGCTTTGAAATGTTGACAGAATTTTGACTAAAGTGGGGACAAGGGAGGGGAGAAAAGCTAGTTTGTCCAAACAAAACATAGAAAAGAACAAGATATATTCATAAGATCAAGGAGAAATCATTCTGGCTGAAAGAAACCATTCACATTGAGGGGCAATGTGAGGTTTGCTTTTACCTATGAAATTGAGGGTACAGGGGATTTAGAAAACAAGATTAAGCATTTCTTCTTTGAATTCTTTTTCAAAGTATTCCTAATCAAATTCTCCTAGAAAACAAATTTTCATAGAATGAAATAGTCTTTCTTTCTATTTTGCATACCTTGTTTTCTTACTAGAAAAGTAATACACTTTTTTTTTTTTTTTGAGACAGAGTTTTGTTCTTGTTACCCAGGCTGGAGTACAATGGCATGACCTCAGCTCATTGCAACCTCTGCCTCCCAGGTTCAACCAATTCTCCTGCCTCAGCCTCCCGAGTAGCTGGGATTACAGGCGCCCGCCACCACGTTCGGCTAATTTTGTATTTTTAGTAGAGATGTGGTTTCTCCATGTTGGTCAGGCTGGTCTTGAAATCCGGAAGTAATACACTTTTAAAATAAAATATTTATTGGCCTATTACAGTATTTCTTCTGTGAATGCTTTTATGTTCTTTACATTTCTACTGTGATGTATTTCCTTACCAGCTTATAATGGTGCTTTATAGATTAAGGCTGCATCTATTCTGCTCTGTACACATCTTATCCTGCCCCCATCTCTTACCCCTCTTCAGCTCCTAAAACCTTTCCACTGGGCCCTCTCAATCCATGGTCTACCATCAAAATCTTTTAAATTCTCAACTTCTCTTAACATCTCCTTCACCTTTCGCTCTGGCCAAATTTTAAATCCCTCCTCACAGCTTTTCCTGTAGCTCCTTTTTCTTCCATTACTGGGTCTAGAGATGGGATAGGTAAGTGTCTTCCTTGCTCTTCATTGCAACTTGCAGTTCTCCTTCCTTCCTGAAAGCTCCTGGCTTTGACTCATGCCATTGGGCTTACTACCTTCCACTACCTCTCATCATTACAGTCATCTACCAAAGTCCCTGCCACTCCCTTTCATTTTTCCACGATTTTGGATCCTGGTTTACTGTCACTCTCTCCAATATTCTTGCTATCTTAATTCCTGGTGATTTCAACATACATGAAATTATACCCTAATCACTCTGATCTCTTAACACCTCTCCTTCAATGATTTTTGTTACTCTTGTTTAACTATTCAATTCCATGCCCATGTCGTGGGTATTTTATTATTAATTAGTGCAAGTTCTCCATTATCTCACTTTGTATATCTCATTCTCTATCACTTCTTTCTAGCTTGCTCCTTCTAACACCCCAGTAACAATGCTTCTGGGACTTTCAATCCATTGATCCTACCATTTTTCACTTTTTTCACTCAGCTTTTGATTTCCTATCGTCCTCTCTCACCCAGCCTGAATTCCTTTGTTCTATAAATACAATGTTCTCTTGTATACACCATCAACTCTCTGGCCTCTCTCTCACTTCTCTGTACTTACTCCAATTCTCCTGACCATTCCTTCTGTCCATTTCCAACTCTTTTACATGGTCTCTTTCCCCTTAAATCTCTGACACTTGCTCCCACATCCTCACACTCAGTTGATGACTTTACCTTCTCCTTAATTATAAAATTAGAAGAAATCAAAAGAGCATTTCTATAAATGCTCACCATCACAGTGACTCACTTACTAGCATCTGTATCATATGTTCTACATTCCCTCCTGTTATCAGAGATCCACTCTGTCCAACAGAGTAGCCGCTAACCACATAGGGGTATTAAACACTTGTAATATAACTAGTACAACTGGGGAATGTAATTATTTTAATTAATTTAAAATTAAAAACCAAAGCATTGTAAACATTAAACAACTTTATTATTTTGGTAGAACTATATTTTCCATTTTAATTATGGGAAATTTATCATCCAAACTGAGATATGCTTTAAGTGTTTGAAAATCTAGTATGAAAAAAAGGATGTAACTATTTCATATGTCATTGTTGATTCCATGTTTAGAACCACAATATTTCAGATATACCTGGTTAAATATTATATTAAACTTAATTTCATCTACTTACTTTTTAAATGTGGCTACTAGAAAAATTTTAAATTACACATGTGGTTCACATATTTCTATGGACAACACTGCTACAGATGAACTGTCCAAGTTCCTAAGATCATACTTCATGACTTCATGCACAAGACCCCATCGCCTTTTTTTTTTTTTTTTTAATGTTTTTGGTATTTTTACGGCTAGTCAAGTGAAGCAGTGGGAGTGGAGAAGGAACAAATAAATCTGTATCTGGTTGTGTCAATTAGTTTTAAATATCACTGCACTCGAACCAGCCTCCATTGCCTCTTACCTACATAAAGGCACAGCTCTAGCAATTCTTCCCTCTTCTACAAAATCAGTTTTTAATACTACAGGATCTTTCCCTTTCATACACAAACATGCTGTTTTCCCTGCCATGTTAAAACAACCCCCCGCCGCCCCCGTTATTGACCCAAGTTTTTTTGTTCTCCTTTACAGCAAACCTCCTTTAAAGGCTTATCTATACTCCAATTTCTTTCCTCCTATTCTCTAGAACGTTTTCGTCTCCATAACATCATCAGAACACCTGTGATTAAGGTTCCAACAACCTTCACATTGCTAAACTCGTCAGCCAATTCTCAGCACTTCTTTTTAATTGATTTATCAACTTTGAGCAGAGTTGCTCACTCCTTACACTTTGAAACTCTGTCATCCTTTGCTTCCCGGCCATCCCACTCCCCTAGTTTTCCACCTCCCTAGCTGACAGCCCCCTTCAGTCTCCTCTGCACGGGTCTCATCTCTTAACGTTAGAAGTCTCTGAAGGCTCAATCCTCGTACCTCGTCTCCCATCTACTCACTCTCTTATAAATCGGAGTCAATCTCACATCTTTCAATACTAGTTAGTTATACGCTTACGAAAACCAAATTGACATCTGCAGCTCGGACCTCCCCTGAACCAAGCCCAAGAGGGGAAGAGGGCGGAGGGAGAACCCCTGGACTAGTCCTCACTGAGCACTACAGATGGCAGAGTCGTGGGGGACCCGTGGGTTACGAGATTCAGGGGTGAGGGGTAGCGGTGTGGATAAAGGTAGGAGCCTGACCTGCTTGAACGTCCGAAGCAGCGAGCCCAGCATGAAGGCCGCCATGTTGTCCGCCGCAAACTACAAAGCGCTGCAACTTTATTGACACTGCCGAACAGCCTGGGATACGAGGGGCGGGGCCTGGGTCGCCTGGGGCGGGGTGGGGCGGGGGGGGCGGGGCGGGGCGGGGCGAGGAGAGGAGGCAAGTGGGAATGGCCTACAGGAAAGTGGAGTTAGTTTTGGGATCTGAGCTCTCGCGATATTTCATGGTACTTGGGCAAATGACAAATCCGAAGGCGTCGCGTTGATTGTGATGGCGCAGCCGACGTTCCTCGTGTGTTGCAGCCCTTCCTTCCGTTTTACACACCCTCTTAAACTACCTATGTCTCTACCCTCCTCCTTTCCTTCCGCCTTTACCTAGTCGGCCGTCACCAATTTCTCTTCCACTGCATTCTCGGTTCCGCTCAACATGCACCTCCTATATACTCCACTCGGTTTAGGGTAGAAACCTAGAAATTATTGCCACCTCCTCCTCCTCTGCCATCTCTCCTATAGATCCTGCAAATCTCTCCCTTTTCTCCACTATAATGGTGGTGTGGTGATGATGTTGATGATGGCAATGATAAAGATAGTTCATTTGTATGTCTGGGTATATATATTATCTGTATTGGGATTTTAGGTTAAAAGGACGTAAACATTATGTTTGTCCTTGGTAGAGGCATTGCCATTTAAAAACTGCTGTTTTCACTTTGTTATGCAGGAAACTAACCTTCAGGTCATCTTTAGAGCCGCTGTCCTTCCTCTGGGATGAACCCTTAGAGGGGCCACTTTCCTTTGTATGGATGTATGGCAAGTACCACGCACCTACCGTTCTGATAGAAGAGTATGGAGGAGCATGTATTACCTTGGCAAGTACCCGTGTCTTTGATGTGTTGGTGGATGAAGTGGAGCGATGCCCATGTGCTAATTACATCTGCATTGCTACACAGGAGCCTTCTGGGAGGAAGGAGAGCTGAATGTAGACTCTTTTCTTTACAGGTTCAAATGTATTAGACCATATCTAATGGAGGGGGAGGGTCTGACAGGCCAGCTGGTGGGTAAACATAACATGAGTCCCTGTTGTGATAGAATCAGAAAACTAGACTGGCCTCAGGCAGGCATCTGTTCCTAATTCAAACCCGTGTAATACCCTTCTCTCCCTCCCCACAGCTGGGCTCATCTTCTATCATCAGGTCATGAAATAGGTGAGCTAGCTCTGTGCACTCTGGTCTTTTCTTCCTTTCTGGAATACTAGTTCTGAAAGCATCTTTTTTGTTGCTGTTGTAGGTTATGATTTAATTCTACCTTTTTGGTGTGACCAGGAACAGGGGCAAGAGTCCACCTCTACAATCTCATAGGAAGAACAGTCAGGAGAATTATATACATCTACAGTGGGCACAGGACTTAGGCCAGATCTTCCTGGAAAGTGGTCAGAAAGACTTAGACTAAGCCACGGGAGTTAGGCCAATCTGATGGTTTGCCCTTTCAAAGATGGCAAAATACTGTTCGATGAAGAGGTAGCCCAGGATCCAGAACTCTTCTGGGTGGTGGAGATGTTCATGCCCTGGAAGCTGCTGGTGCCCCCCTGCTGACTTTTTACAGGTTTTATGAAGGATATTAAAAATGGGCTGAGCATGGTGGCTCACACCTGTAATTCCAGCACTTTGGGAGGCTGAGACAGGTGGATCTCTTGAGGTCAGGAGTTCAAGCCCAGCCTGGCCAACATGGGTGAAACCCAGTCTCTACTAAAAATACAAAAATTAGCCGGGTGCAGCGGTAGGTCCCTGTAATCCCACCTACTTGGGAGGCTGAGGCAGGAGAATCTCTTGAATCCAAGAGGCAGAGGTTATAGTGAGCCGAGATTGCATCACTACACTCCAGCCTTGGCAACACAGCAAGACAACAACAACAAAAAAAAACAACTAAAAAGGATACAGATGAACAGTCAGTTGGAAGAGAGGTGTGGGAGAAGGTACAGGGGATGGGACTTGGAGCTTCAATGCCCTTTCCTGGTGGGGCCACCCTCCAGAAACCTCCACATATTCAGCTATCTACAACTTCTGAAAGCATCTTTAAACAGCATTACTAACTTTTTTCTAAAAATTGTGATACAATATACATAACATAAATTTTCCCATCTTCACCATTTTAAGTGTACAGTTCAGTGGCATTAAGTGCCGTCACACTGCTGTGCAACCGTCATCACCGCCCATCTCCAAAACTTTGTATCTTCCAAAACTAAAACACTGTACCATTAAACAATAACTCCCCATTCGCCCTTCCCTTCAGCTCCTGGCAACCACCGTTCTACTTTTTGTCCCTATAAATTCAACTACTCTACATAGCTCATATAAGTGGAATCATGCAGTGTTTTGTCTTTTTGTGACTGGCTTCTTTCACTTATAACATCTTCAGGGTTTATCCATGCTGCAGCATGTCTCAGCACTTCATTCCTTTTTATGGCTCGGTAATATTCCATTGTTTGGCTACACTACATTTTGTTTCTCTGTCATTAACACTTGCTTTACCTACACCTTTTAGCTGTTGTGAATAATGCTGTGAACAAATATCTTAAACAGCATTCGGATCTTGTTAGACCATTTTTCACTTTAAGAAGAGATTAAAACAACCTAATGGTGTAAGGGAGGCAGGAAACTCTGAGATACTGAGACAAGACTCCAGGGTCTTCTTTAACTAATTGAATTGGTTTTTTAAAACAGCCTAAGATTTCCCCCCAGATCCCCCAGTGTGCACTCCTCCCTTAGTGTGTGGGCCACTTGGCAGGGCCTAAAGAAGTCTCAGTTTACCTTGAATTTTCCCAAGGAGTCTCTGATTCTCTCTGGCCACTTAACAGAATGTGGGAAAGGCTGTTGTCTTTACTGTCCTGGAATATTAGAATCAGGAGAACCATCATAATTCACTTAATCATTCAGAAAATATTTACTAAATGCCTATTATGTACGAGTGTGTAAGTATGTGTCAGGTCGGAGACTGAAAAAACATCCCAGCCCTTCTGATACTTGTAATTCCACTGGGGATTGTAGATTTGGACACGAGTGGAGCTATCTACCAAGGACGGTTATATTACCTTTGGTTTTTCCTTATATTCTTTCCTTTGGAGGCTTAAAAGTAGTTTTTGGGTGGATAAAATAAAATTTAAGAGTTAATTATTTTTAAGTTCGATTGTAAGAGATGTTTATAGTTGCTATTTTCTGGGCCTAATTAAATTATAAAAATGATTGCATAGATAATGAAATTGAGGCATAGAGAGGTTAGGTAACTTGCCAAGCCAGCTGAGCTAAGAACGTTAAGGCAGATGCTCTTTTTTTGTTTTTTTTGTTTTTTTTTTGTGGTGGAGTCTCGCTTTGTCACCCAGGCTGGAGCGCAGTGGTGCGATCTCGGCTCACTGCAAGCTCCGCCTCCCGGGTTCTCGCCATTCTCCTGCCTCAGCCTCCTGAGTAGCTGGGACTACAGGCGCCCGCCACAGGGTTTCACCGTGTTAGCCAGGATGTTCTTGATCTCCTGACCTCGTGATCCGCCCGCCTCGGCCTAAGGCAGATGCTCTTAATCCTCTCTCCATGTTGTCTTCTGGAGGAGTGATGGCTCAGGATAAAGGCCTGACTGTTGTCACAGAATTCTTACTTATAAAATGTATCAATTGATTAATGTATGGATTTCATGCCATTCTAATGAATACTTCAATATATATAATACTCCTATATATTATATAAATATGTATTTGTAATAAATATATAAATATATATTTAGGTTATATATAGGTTAAATATAAATATATATTTATAAATATATTTATTAATACATAATATATACTGTAATATAGAAATACATATTTAATATATATGAATAAACATTTTATAAATATATAGCATATAGTATATTACTCAAAATAAATATATATTAAATATATGTATTATATAATCTATTAATATATGGTCTATACAAATATATATTTATTATATTCATAAATATATATTAAATATATATCCTTATCTATATTTAATAAGGATATATATTTACCCAATTGTGCCACTTTGAGGAATTTTTCCAAGGAAATACTGAAATAGATATATATTTTAATCTGTATATATTCTTATATATTTAATAAATATATATTTATGTTAAATATTCGTATATTTATTAATATATATAAGGATGAGTGGATGGAAGAGAGGTAGAAGCTCCCTCATAGAAAACCATGAATTTTATTTTATTTTTTGAGACAGAGTCTGGCTCTATCACCCGGGCTGGATTTAATGACTGGATCACAGCTCACGGAACCTCAACCTCTCAGGTGCAAGCAATCCTCCTATCTCAGCCTCCGGAATAGCTGGGACTGTAGGCTGGCGCCACCACACCTGGCTAATTTTTGTATTTTTTGTAGAGATGGAGTCTCATCTTGCCATATTGCTCAGGCTGGTCTTAAACTCCTTGAGCTCAAGAGATCCTCCTGCCTCAGCCTCCCAAATTGCTGGGATTACAGGTGTGAGCTACCACACCCCATGAAATTTTTGAAAACAAAAAAATACTGAATGGTCTTACCCTACCGGATCTTAATATTTCATACATTATAGAGCCATAGGGATTGAGCTCATGTGGTACTGGCACCAAAATCAACAGACAGGTACGTGAAATAGAATAGATCGGCCAGATAGAAACTCCAGTGCAGTTAGAATTTGGTTGTGTATTAAAGGAAGCATAAAAATTGTTGAACAAGTGGTAATGGAACAACTGAGTAAAGATTTTGGAAAACTTTAAAAATTATATCTTCATCTCTTACCACATATCAAATTTTAGATGAAGAGTTAAATACTAACAAAGGCTTAAAAAACAGAAGAAAATAAAAATGAATATATTTTTAATTTTTATTGTTTTATTTTATTTTTATTTTTTGAGATGGGATCTCACTCTGTCACCTATGGTGGAATGCAGTGGTGCGATCTCAGCTCACCGCAGTCTCTGCCTCCTGGGCTCCAGGTGATTCTACCTCAGCCTCCTAAGGTGATTCTACCTCAGCCTTCTAAGTGGCTGGTTCTACAGGTGTGGGCTACCACACCCTGGTAATTTTTGTATTTTTTGTAGGGACGGGATTTCACCATGTTGCCCAGGCTAGTCTTGAACTCCTGAGCTCAAGCATTTTGCCTGCCTTGGCCTCCCAAAGTGCTGGGATTACAGATGTGAGTCACCATGCCTAACTGAATCTATTTTTTACACTTTTAAATCTTAGTAGACAATTTTCAGACTGTCCAACAACATTAGATGTGTTCAGCCTCACTAGTTTCCAAGAAAATGCAAATTAAAATAATGAGATCTATTTAAGCTAGAAAATTAGCAAAGGTTAAAAAAAACTCAGCATTGTCAGAGGTGTGAGGAAATAGGTAATTTCATAGTCGAGTGATAAGAATATAAATTGGCATAACTTGTCTGCAAAGCAATTTGGCAAGTCTTTTCAAAGTTTGTAACTATTGACCCAATTATGCCACTTTGAGGAATCTATTCCAAGGAAATACTGAGAAACTCTAAAATTTATATAAAAGGTCATTTATCATTGGCTTATCTATAATAACAAATAAATAACAGAGAGGGGAGAGTTCAATGAATTAAGAAATCAAGTTATAGTCCTAAATTTAAAAATCTGATGGGTTTCTCATTTTAAAATGTATATATATTTACAGATACAGGTGTAGGTATAGATTAGATAGATAGGATAGATAGATAGATAGATAGATAGATAGATAGATAGATAGATAGATAGATAGATAGATTAAAAAGGACTAGAAGGGAATACCCTCAAATATTAAGAGTGAAGATGAGCAAGCAGATTACTGGTTTTTCTTATGGTCGTTAAAAT